TAACCTTCTCTATCCACGGTATCCTCATCATTCGCCTATAACACCACATTTCGAACGCTTCTAACCTTTTCTTTTCTGCCGCACCCACTGTCCATGTTTCGCACCCGTACACGCCGCGCTCCAAACATACACCTTTAACAACCTTTTTCGAATTTCTAAATTAATTGATCGAGAGCATAGAAGTGACTTCTTTTTATTGAAGGCGACTCGACCCTGCGCTATTCTCTGCTTTATATCCCTACTACTCCTTCCGTCCTGACTTATCTGACTTCCTAGATACCTAAAATCAGCCACTTCTAATATTTCGTCTCCTATCTTTATGTTCGCTCTTTCTCTTCCCTTGCATACCAGTATTTTTGTTTTACTTTTATTTATTTTCATACAGTACTGTTTACAAGAATTAAAAATCTCTTCGTGGATTCATCATTCTCTGTAATTCATTCAGAGATTATCCCTCAAAAATAAATAGATGTATAAGTATATTACATTTGTCTGCACATGCAGATATTAGGAATTCTACTAGTACAACTTACAGAGCTAATTATGATAGATATGTGTTTTCATATTATTGTTTTTCTTTGTTGCAGTGCGAAGAAGCAGAGTACACAGCAATGGTTGTACTCAAACAAGAAGTGATGGATGACTGCGACGATGTTTTTGTGCCAACCCCAAAATCATTGGGATCAATTCAGAAAGTGCCCTCCTTGAGTGATTTATCTGATCCGGAAGCGTCTTCTGGTAAGTTTAATAACAAATGTTTTGTTCTTCTTGATTTTCTGGTATCGCAAAATTGATGTATTGAAATACAGAACAACATAAGGCGCATTTCGTTTAGAGAAATCTTTTAAACCATTTAACAGTCATGCGATGTTTAAATATTGTAAACCGACATTGGAATCATCAGCATACGACAATAGAACATAGAACAGCACATTTTAGGAAAGTTTAGTTTAAATTTAATATGGTTTTTATGTAGGGAACTCACTTCAAAAGACACCTATAGTGCATGGTACGGTCATGACATCTTCAATATGGTTTATATTAACATATCCTTATGTAATAAAGTAATTTCGATGGTGGTATGGTTCTAACTCGAATCTCCTCCGCATCGTCAAACTGTTAATAATTATTTGATTTGAAAGCATCGTTTATTACTGATGTTGAGTCCAATCTTAATAATCCTTACAATCTGAAATCACGATATCAGATAGGTTCGTTTGTGATGTTGTAAAGACAACATAGGAAAAGTCGTACCGTAACGGTTTCAATATTGAGTGCCGCAGTGAAAATTTATAGTAACAATAGTTTCGCTTCATTGAGTATTATTGCGGCTGATTTTTCGAAGAAAATTAATAGACATTCGAGTTAAAAGGACAATTTATAATGTAATAAGTCAGAGAAATGGCTAAATTTGAGTTACAGAATTAGAATAAATGTAATACAATTGCTCCATGTTGAGTTATGAACATCAGGAAAACAACATTCAAGAATTTCGTATGAAATAAATTATCCAAAATAAATTGCAAATTTATTTATAAACAGATTAAATGTTACCCTGGAGGAGATTTTCTTCGAAAATATTAGTTGTCACCGACTGTGGTTAGGACAATAGCGCTTCTGTAATCGGTTCCCCATCCTATGTATATCTTTTTTAGTCAAACTATGAGTACCTAGCTTTAGAAATTATCACATATAAATGCTCTGTTAATTATGCCGACAAGGAGGTAGGTAAATATAGTACTAACTACACTTCGCGTGCCTAAGAAAGAGAGAAAGAGTGAGAGTGAGAGAGTGAAAACAAGTAGAAGGTATTCAGATAATGAGGATGTCAACCATTATGTAATTTCAGGCTGATTTAATATAGTAGACCTTTCTTTTAATCATGTACCTATGTAATGTGACAATATAAATGGGTTATGTAGGGCTGCCGATATTTTAGTATTATCAAAAATGTGTAACTATTTTGCTTTTATAAAAAAAAGTAAAAATAAGATAGGCTGGAGACAACAGAAGGGCAACGTATTGTAATATACGTGGGTTTAACAAAATTAACTTCGAAGACTGATAACAACAAAACTATTTATTTACAGTAATTATTAATGCTCTATTTATTTCACTGCTATCACTGTCAATTTATTTTTCGACTCACTTCTGCAACGGTCAACTTATTTCTTCTTCCTTACTTCTGCAACCGTCTCTTCCTTTAAATACTCTTTTGTTTCCGTTCGGGAACCTTCTCGAACCGTCCGGAAAAGTTTCTTTTTCTTTGAACTGTTTAATTGCTTTCCCAGAACGCAGGTACGACACACACATTTANCCACAGAGGCGTCTTGTTCAGCGTGCTGTCAAACCTACACTAGCAAGGAGATCGGGCTGAAACTATAGCTACAAGCTATCCAAGGATGGTACTATAGAATGTCACCTCAAGGTAGACCTAGTGGCGTCATCTCTTGGTTAGGCCGGAAACTTATCAATCCACCCTCGTATTATACATAAATGTTTTTTCGAAGGTTCTCCGCTTGGATGATATCGCTAATCTACAAAGATAAGGCAACGTGCCAAAAATCAATTATGAAATTAATATTACCTAAATAGACGACAGAGTCTTGCAACCTGGAATTATTAAGGTTCAATCTTTTTGTACAAGGAATAAACTATATTAAGGTTAGACAAAGGAAACAATAACATGGTCTAGGCTTCGGGCTCCTTGAATCTTTTTGCCGAAAGGAGAACTAATCGATCCTGAGGTTAGTCGCCGCCTAGGATACCTGAGCCAACGATACAGTGGGGGTGGACCTGCAGTGTACGGAAACCTTTAAGCTAAGGGCATAGATGGGGTTAACTTTGTTAAATATCTGTCTAAACGGATTAATATACAGATTAAAAATTTGTAATTTTTAAAAAACACGACAAAAGCAAAAAGTTCACGATACACCGCCATTTAGCATTCATGAAATCAAAAATTCTTGAATGTGAATGCTGAGGTGACAGAAAGAGAAAGTAGATATGAGACAGTTTGGTAGTTTTTCTGAAGTGTGTTCCCTGAAACAAGTGTCTTTACCTGCTAATACTTATCTATTAATTTATAGTTGGATTTTTACTAATTCTGAATATGAATCATCCATATCAGTGCTGAGCCTATGCAAATTGATCGTGAGATTATTTATAATTTTTCCAAAATAATCATCAAATATGACCAAAGACCTTGATGACAAATACTTGACTAGAGAAAGCCAGCTAGTCTGGTTGGAATCAAACCATTTGTTTATATATAAAATAATTTGATCAAAGAAAAGTGTGAAGTTATTAGGTAATAGTTGTGGTGAAATCTTTTTTTAATGTTTTTTTTTCGTTTCATGGTCAAAATGCTTATCATTCGCTAATCGTGAGATAGGGGTTTTGCTAAGGAGCAGGCAAATATTGCGAGTTAGGCTCCAGTAATAAATGAAGACAGTTGTTACTTCATTTTTTTTAACAGTGTACAGTTTTGTAGAGTGAAATAAAAAGTATAAGACATTTTGGTAAGAAGCTTTACTGAAAAAAAAAAAGAAACAATCAACAAATCGCAAAAAAGAAAAATCATTCTACTGCAAACTTAGCCTTCATGATTATTCCAGAAATTAATAAAGATGATACCCCTGAAAAAGAGTATTGTTTATATCGGACGTTTTTCGAATAGTTTTTCACCAAGGGCGTCAAGATTGACCATAATTGGCTAATTTCTGACCGACTTTATGACTAACCTCCTGTTGGAAAAATAAGTCATGGAATTGAATAACATCCAAGAAGAAAATACTACCAAGGGACACTCGTCCTATTCATTTCTGCATTCATTTTAGATAGCTCCTCTCGAAGGACTTTGCAATAGAATGACTTTCTTCTTTTTAGTCGCCTAAATCAACTTAGGTTAGGTTAGGTTATTAGTGTACTAGTTTTGTTCTTACCAAGACGCGTTTTCATTTTATTTTGTACTATTTGCAAAAATTCCCGGCATTTTTCGTGAATTCGGTGTGAAATCTAAGCCAGAAAAAACGGGATTAAAGGTTATTTATTTATTCAGAGACGACAGCCGACATTTCACTCAAATTAATTGTCGAATTAATTTTTTAAGTTAAAGAAGATGTAAAGCAGATGAACTCATTGATTTGTACTTACTTTTATATAATCTTTTAACAATACGATCGAAAAAGTTTCACGAAAATCCGTTCTGTGGAACGGGGCTCCTAGGGTTTTAGACGCTCCACTATTACTGTAATAAGTGCTTTGTCTAAATGTCACCAGTGGTATTTTAAGTATTTATTTATTTATTTATTATTTTAATACTTCGACGTTTTTATAATAATTATGAATTGTCAGTTAGTATATTTATTGTTTTATTTGTACAATGATTTAATTACTTTAATTGGTAGTTGAACATTTACTATTACAAATCAGCGAGTCCATCTGCTTTACATCTTATTTAACTGGCCTTGAGAAAGTCCTACAACTCGAGCGAAACAGTGCCTATGGTTTTTAAATAAATAAATTACCTTCAACTTCCCTTTTTGGTTTTTATTTAGCAACGAATTTAAGAACAAGAGAAGAACGGATAACAAAATATATATCGTGAATATAACCCTCGAAAATTGCAGAGAATCATTACATTGATACTATAATAACAGTGTATCAATCTAGATACAACTGAAAGGTTTCGTTGAGTAATTCGTCATCAAAATTCACCCTGTATGTGTATGAATGTTGCCTTTCGTGACTGTGTATATTGTTGAGGTACGTTTGTAGTTCTTGGAAGAAACACCGGACAAACGTGAGGGGCAAGTCAATAACGTAGTATATTATTGGCCACAGTTCAATAATTTACGTTTACTATTTCTGAATCTGCACACAGTTATACGAAAGTATTAGTGGTTATTTCAATAATACGAACGCAAAAGTGGATTTAAGGTATTGGTTATGAAAATCTGCATCAACTTCCCAAATGAAATCCATATTTCAGATTTTGTTTACACTAATTCGAAATTTTACAGGATGTTTTCTGTGCAGAGGTTTTTAGGTGTTATACAAACTATAAAATGTCTCCTTTTTGTGTAGGCTTGTTTATTAAAAAAATACTTTATTTTTTACGTCAAAATAGCCCTTGTCTGTAAATCTGGTTGTTCTATTGATATAAATAATTTATTTGTTTCATATACATTCAGTTAACAAATTGAAATGCTTTTAATCGAGCAAAACGACATATCATATACACACACTGCCAGTTGTACGGAAAAGGACTTGGGGTATTTTTTATCCAGGAAAAAATACTTTACTCAAGGGATAGGAAAATCAGTTTTATGTCGTCGTCGATGATTTTTGCCAAGTATTTAGGACATAAACGCGAGCGAAGCCGCGAGTAAAACCTACTAATTAAACTAATAATTTGATTTGTGATGAGTTAGGTACCTATACATAATGCAGTTCATCGTCTTTAATATAACTACATAACAGTGTTAATATATAACTCGACAGTTCAAGAAATTTATTTCTTGGTATCCATTGGTTCTATTTGCATCATCGTCGACGCGTGCCGATTTTATTTGGACGGGATATTTTTACTCCATCTGTTACAGCTGCATATAAATAATTTTTAAATATATTTGACCTCTGGTTGTAACTATAAGTTTGTGCAAAAGATTTTCTGTGAATGAGGCTTTAAGAATTCACGACCATGAAGATCTGTTAATATATGTGTGTACCTATATCGACAATAATAATTTATTGATTTGTGATTGACGGAGATTCGACCGATTATTCTTGACCAAGGAATACAGTC